GGGTCATTGTCAATACTTAAGTCTTTTTCTAACTCTTGTAGATAAATAACAAACTTTCTTTCTCTATGATATTTTCTTAATACTATTTCATGTGGTTATTCTACTATCTGTTCATTGTTAACATCGAGATTATTATTTTGTTATTCTTCTTGATTGTCGTGTGGTTCTAAAATATGTGGAACAACAACTCTTGAAGAAGATGTACTAGTTACATGAACTTATACTTTAACTTCCTTAATATCCACATTTCGTGAAGCTTCACTTCCACTGGTTTCACCATTCTCATTTAATCAAACATTTCCAGTTTCAACAATTCTTGCACTATGGGTAGGACAATAAAACATATACCCTTTTGATTTTTCTGGATAACCAATGAAATATCCACTGATTATTCTTGCATCCAATTTATTTTCTTGCGAATTGTAAATTCTTACTTATGGCTGACAATCACAAACATGCAGGTGTCTCAAACTAGGTTTCCTACTTGTCAATAACTCAAAAGGAGTTTTTTGAATAGCTTTACAAGGAACCTTGTTCAATAAATACATGTCAGTCTTCAAAGCATACATCCACATGATACAAGTAAACATGAATTACTTACCATGCTCCTAACCATATTCATTAAGGTTCGATTACGCCTTTCTGACAACCATTTTGTTGCGTCGTGTCTGGCATTATATATTGAGCACAAATACCACATTTCTCTAGGAACTTAGCAAACGGACCAGGGTGTTGTCCGTTTGCATCATATCTTCTATAACACTCACCACCTCTATTTATGCTGACAATTTCACTTTTCTGTCTAATTGTCTCTCCACTTCATTTATATAAACTTCCAAGACATTCACTGCTTGAGATTTCTCATGCAGTAAATAGAAATATTTATAATGCGAGAAATCGTTAATGAAGATAATGAAATACTTCTCTTTATTGAAAAAATTTACATCAAATGGACCATATATATAGTGTGTATGATTTCAAGAAGTTGAATGCTTTTTGTGACTCCTTTCTTTGTGTGTTTTGTTTGTTTTCCTTTAATACAATCCACACATATATTTAGATTAGTAAAATCTAAATTTGGAAGGATTTCCTTCTCTACTAATCTTTACATTCTTTTTTTGAAAATTTGTCCTAAACGCTTATGCCACATGTAAGCAGATCGTTCATTCACTAAACTACGTTTAGTATCAACATTATGATGCAAGGTCATGAGAGTTTCAACATATAAATTATCCAAATAAAATTTATATTAACCATCATAAAGTGTACCACATTCAATCATACAAGTACGCTTAAACAAACTGAAACAATAATTCTCAAACTTAAAAAAGTATCCAACAACATCAACGTTAGACAAAGAAACTAAATTCCTAGTGATACTAGGTACATAAAAAGTATCCATAAGGTCTAAGTGATATCCAGCGTCAAGGATTAAACGATAAGTCCTGACAGCTTCCACTAGAACCTTCACTTTATTCCCTATGAAGACGAACTTCTCATTTGGGTTTACGGTTCGGGTTGAAAGGAATTCTTGGATCACATTAGAAACATGAGTCGTACATCCAGAACTAATCCACCAAGTATTATGGGGAACTTCAATTAAGTTTGGTTCAAAACATATGTAAGCACTATGCTCACCTTTCTTTTTGAACCAAACTTTATGCTTTAAGCAGTCTTTCTGGAAATGTCCAGACTTTTCGTAGAAATGACATTTGTCATTTTCTTCTGAATTTTAGTAAATGACTTGTTAATCTTTAATGGTCTTTTACCCTTTCCATGTTTCTTAACAACTTTCTTTTCAGCTCCTTAATTTTTCACATAATGAACAAAGTGACTTCATAGGTTTTTTGTCTGGTCTCCTCCTAGACTAACATACTATGCAATTTATGCACATTTCATTTGTCTTTCATGGTGTTATAATTCATCTGAAACAGACCATACTCAAACGGTAACGAGTTCAAAATGAACTGCATAAGAATTTTTTTTTCCACTATCATTCCAAAAGACTCGAGTCTTGTTGCAATATTTGTCATCTCGATTACGTGTTCATGCATACTAGGAGAACCATCAAACTTCATGGCGGTCAACATACTCATCAATGTCTCAGTGATGGATTTGTCAACAACTTGGGAGCAATCTTCCATAAATTTCATAAACTTTTTCGCGTCCTCAGTTTTAGGAAGAGCAGACTTAATATTATTTGCTATACTCATTCGGATAAACATAAGGCTAAGTTTGTTTAACCTTTCTCAAACTCTATAATGAGTTTTCTCTTCATTACTACTAGCATCAGTGATAGTAATCGATTTTTCAACTTAGAAAGTCAAATCAAGATCGAGCACACTTAAATGAAATTGAACTTGTTCACTCTAATAAGGGATATTTAACTTATTAAATACTGGAATAGACATGCTAAGCAAATGCAAAGATACATTAACATATACTACAATTAACATATGCCTAACATTAATACTTTGAGTCATAAAAACTACACATAAATACATATTTAAATATAAATAATCATTCTAAGCATACTAATGTTCTCTTTGGGAGATCCACTAATACATAAATATAATGATGTTAACCATTTTATAACATTGATGATAATTAAAATATGTACTCATTAGAATCACCTGACACATTTGTCATAAATAAAATTAGTGACACACAAAAACTTATTTACCATCATGCTCATTAATTATAATAACAACTAATCAATCTTTGGGTGATCCAAACCTTATAATAATGAACTTCAATTAACCCATAAATCAATTATTCATCATTTTAGCATTGAGTAATTGAAATAAAATCATTAATAATTTGAAATCTAATAATCTTAAAGTTTTTGTCACTTTAATGACTAACAAAATTTATAATATTTAATTCAAATAAATAACATCTTTAATTACTATTAACCATTTATAGTATTTTTTATTAATTTTAATAAATATTTTTAATAAATATGTACATATATACCATATCTATAGCAAATAATTATTATATTAATTTTATAATGATTTTAAAAAAATAATCATGCGTGGCCAAACCATTTCATGTAGCAAATTGGATACATGATTTACCTTTTTCAATTTTAATTATTATAACATGCAGCAAAGTGAAACCAGTTCATGTACACTTTCAATTTGATTATTATGACATGCAACAAAGCAAAACCAATTCATGTACACAGGGGACCTTTCAATCACGCACAATGGCGACGAAAATGCACATATGCTTAGGTACTCATTCAATTTGCAATTTAATTATGAGATTTTGAGATTGTTTTAGGTAATTTCAAATATTCATAATTTATAATTTCAATTTGAAATCAATTGTAGCCAAAAACATAAAATTTTTATAACTTATAATTAGAGCAAATTGAGGATAAATTAAGATTCATATTAATTTAAAAAAAAATATTTAAATTCATAATTATGATTTATGTTAATTCGAAGAAAACATAATTTGAAAAAAAAATGATAATAAAAAAATTATAAATCTAATAACATGTGTTAATTTATGAGAGATTTAATAAAAATGTGTTTTTCATTGTTTTTGGTTTCTAATCTTATTTTCTCAATTTATCTCTTTGACTTCTCACATTTTCTTAATAATTTACAATGAAAAAAAATCTGATGACCATAAAATCTTAATCTCTTTTTATTAACCAACATTCATGGTTACAATAAATTTTTATTTTATTTTATTATGATTTCTATAATAATTTATAAGTCTTTATATTTTATTAAATCATATTTAGATTTATCATTATATAAAACTATTTAGATTCATGGTTATATTTTATATAAATCATGTAATAAAATTAATTTATTAATTAATTCTAACATCAAACCCTTATAAAAGAAAATCATATCGTAATTAAACGGTTAGATCAATGATTTATTTGAATACACTATTTCTCATTTTCTGGTTATGTATGATATTGTTTGCCATGCTATATGCATGGAAATTTCTAGATGTGGCAAAATTCCTTTGTTTTTTAAATACGATAATTTTGAGTTTGCATGCACGAGCATCTCACGTGTGCGTAGTAAAAAAATATGAAAATATGCAGTGATAGGAGAACGAGGGTGGAGGGGGTAATCGGAATTTCAAATCAGCGGGCCATTCCAAGAAAATATATGTTTATGATATCGACAGAATCAAGAGCATATCCGAATATGTAAATTTGACATATGCTTCTGCCTAACTCGAAGCCATTGCTTTCCATACTAGCAGGGTCTGTTGGGTATGTTTTTATGGTAATCTGTCAAAATTAAGTTATTGCAATGTGTTTGCTTAAAGAAACATCATCAACTTTAGATCTTTTCAAACCACCTTATATATCTTAACAGATAAAATGTGTCATTGTGGATTAAATGGTTTTTTAGTTGTGTTGGGTGACTCTTCGTGACTTCAACCAGTTGAATGAAATGATTATTTAGTAGTTAAGAGAATATGCAAGATAGGAGTTATTGGTCTTGATGAATATGAGAACAAGAAACACGTGTCAAAGTTTATAAAATGGTAAGACTGGGAAAGTTGTGGACATATTAATAATTTATTAATGTGAAATTATATCAAGATGTAAGATAAATTACTTTATCATTATATTATCTCAATGATTGAGATGTGATAAAATAATTAAATGTTTTTAGATGCAACGACGAATAATTTGAAGGAAACAAATTTGTCCAAACTTTTATTTTTTGTTTTGGTTTGGTGAAATTACTAATTAGTAGGGAATTTGATAGCGACGGAAGCATAATCCAGATGCGAAAGAGAGAGGGGTATGTAAGTAATTATGAGAGTGACTGAAGGAGGGTGGTTACCGATTTGATTCTTGTCTTCCTCGCCACTGTTCCCCTGTCTCCATAACCAACCAACTATACATTAACTCCAACACTCAACCTCACTCACTCGCTTTCTTCAGAATCCGAGATCTGAATCGAAATCGAAGAGAGAAAGACAGTGTGTGTGTGTGAGAGAGAGAGAGAGAAATGAGGGAACCATCGTCGGTGGGATTCGAAGGCAACGGCATCGTTTCTCCGCCGCCGCAGGCTCTCCTAGAGAGACTCAAAGACTACGGTCAAGAAGACGCTTTCGCCCTGTGGTACGAGCTCTCCCCCGACGAGCGCGACCTTCTCGTCAAGGACATTGAGGTAATTTAATTTCCTCCCGCTCCAATTCCCTCTCTTCTCCTCCGCCGCGAAATTAATCTCCGATTCGATTTTCGAGCTTCAGATGCGCGACTTGACTTCGTCTCATTTTTCGTTTCCCGATCGTTTTTGTTTGTTTGTTTATAACGTGTTCCGTGTTGCAGAGTTTAGATCTTTCTCGAATTGACCGGATTATTCGATGCTCGCTGCGATCTCAAGGTTTGGTTGGATGTTAATTAGTGATTGCGTGTTTGTTAATTAATCGAATCGACTACTTCTCTTCACGTGCATGCTTGTTAGTTGGCTATTGTATGTTTGCCGCGTGTGGCTGATTTGTGATTGCTTGCTAGGGCTGCCGGCGGCGGCCATTGAGCCTGTGCCGGAGAGCAGTGTGTCCACGGTGGATGAGAGAAGCCAGGAGGATCGTGAGAGATGGTGGAAAATGGGGTTGAAGGCTATTTCAGATGGCAAATTAGCTGTGTTGCTTTTATCTGGTGGCCAGGTATATTTGAATCTGTTTTGGATGAACATATGCACATGTTTTTTGGTTAATTTTTTTAGTGATTGGAAGATGATGAATGATAATAATGATGTGCCATATCAGCATTGTTTGATTCCAGTTATGTTTATATTTTTTGGTGCTAGTTGCGTATATATTTAGAATCTTTCAATACATGTGTTGGTGTGTTTTTCTTATTTATGCGAACTTAATTACACTGAGTGCATTATTGATATGATGACCATAATACTATAGATAGTCACTAAAATATTGATATTCTCTCCTACCCTATTTATATTTGTAACACTTTTTTCGAAACAATTGTTTATTCCTTTTTGTAATTAAATAAAAAGATTGATTTTTTTTAATAAATCACAATATTTGAAATAAATCGTGAATTCTAATGCCTTTCTTCATTAATTTAGTTATATATATATATATTTATATATATATATATATATATATGTATAAGAATAATTTTAAATAATTATTGATAGATTTGTTACTTTTAACTAATTTAACTGTTTTTTTAAAGAGTGTAAACTCATTAAAAGAATGTTAAAACAGGCAGGGAAAGAACTGCGGCAGCAAGCAGTATCATTTCTCTATATTTCTATCGGCATTATTTTGTTATTATGCCTACCCTTTTTGGGAACCTTCTCCGTTAGAGACAAAGTAGAATTCGGGGTCATTCCTTTTGATTGTCCCTAAAAAGCAACATCATTGGCTGCAAAGTGTGGTTGTGTAAGAGCGGATGCTCTTTTGTTTATTCCTTTTTAACTTTAGTAATCTGCTTTGATGTGCAATGGTATGCTACAAATATGATGCACTTCTTTTTTTCAATTAAAATAATAAGTATTTGATTTCTTAGGGGCATAAAAAGTAGTGGCTTTAACCTGTTTTTTTTGTAATCATTAAGTGCGATAAAGTTGCTTTATGTTATAAGGGGTTGGACTCGTTTCTCTCCTTGGATTCCACCAAAAAGCAAATGAGTACATATGAATAAATAGCATATGGTTGGTTAGCTGCGTCATCGTTAAAACGTGATACTTGACATGATTTTAATTCCGGCTTATTAAAACTCTGTAATGTTTTTTCCTTTCTTAAAAGATAAAATAATTCCTCATAGCTGAACTAGTTAATGGAATTTATAAATGCTTATCTTATTAAAATACAGCCTAACATATTCGTGATATTATTATGTGTTAGTCTTATGACCCTTATAATCGATATTGTTATTATTTATCTATGCATATGTATTAAATTTGATGCCTCATTTTTATTATTATAAAGTGATATCATAGTCTCTTTTCATGAAATCATGTAACTTTCTCTTTATGTGGTAACCTGCCTCTGGAGAATAATTCATATTTTACTAATCTGTTTCATAAAACCTTGTCTCCTATGTCTAATCAAGTCAATATTTTGTTTTCCTTTTTTTTAAATAACAATTAATGTAGTTTTTCTTAATTTCTTTAGTAATTTTTTTTTCAATCAACATTAAATATAACAAAGTATTCGTAAGTTGTCATCATATTATAATTATATTAATGATTTTTAAAATTAAAATACCTAAATATTTATACTGTATATTTTAATTTTAATTTTTATTATAATTAAAATTAATTTATTAATTAAATTATATTTTAAGCATTATCTATTGCAATGTAAAAATATTAAAGGCTATAACAATTTTTACTATACATACTGTTTTTAACCCATTAACTGTTACTCATACAATTTTTATTTCCTTTTTGAAGTAGTGTTTATATTTTAAGTAGTGGTATATTTTCATTAATTGCTCTCATTCTTCTTATTTTACCGAAAAAATAAAAAAGTACATATTGATTGATAACTACAGTTCCTATCTTTCTGTCCATTATTATTTTGGATTTAGGATTTTAATTTAGATTTTGTTTTACCCAAAGTATTCATACAGTGTAAGTAGAATGGTAAATTTGATCTTTAAAGTGTATATTTAATTTTAAACTTTAAATAAATCAAAATAAAATGCTTAAAAATAACTTTAATATTTACTAATATTTTTTATTTTAAGTAAGTATTTAATTGTTATCATTAAAATACAATGTATTATATTAAAATCACCTGGACCAATTTTTATGTAACATTCAGTCTTCATTCTCAACTGTTATGTTTCTAGTTGTCTACCTGTTTGGCTGACTTAGGAATGTCCTAAAACTTTAATGCAGGGGACTCGACTTGGAAGTTCAGATCCAAAAGGATGTTTCAGTGAGTACTCTAACTTGATACTGAAAGCAAATTATTGAAGCTCTTTAGTTGGAGTTGCTGGACCAGCTTTTTAGATTAGAGGCATAATATTTCTGAAATGCTTCTTTATGTATGTAAAAGAGATTCCACACAAACAGTAGATATCTTTTGGATAAAAATAGGGAATGCAAGAAGAAAAAATGATGAGAAAACTCTCAATTTCAATTTCTGGTTCCTTAACAGAGGCTGAAATTTCCCAAAATATATTCTCTCTCATCTTGTTTCTCTTCTCATCCCTCTATAACTAAATGTCCCAACTCATCCCTTCCCATAACAACTCCCCTCCTTCTCATTCCTTTTCTGTTCCTAATGTAACTGGGAAATTTATAAAATTCCACATAAATTTAAAATCATTATTGTTTGTTTAAAACAGTTAACAAGGTACGATAAAGTTACTCTTACTATTTTATTTATCTCAAAATTGAGTTGTACGTTATGGTATTTTGTCATTTGAAGGAACTTTGAGGGTAAATCATGAAATATATATTTTATTTATGTATTATTATGTTATATTTTAGATGTTGGACTTCCATCTGGAAAATCACTTTTTCAACTTCAAGCTGAGAGGATTCTTTGTGTCCAACGACTAGCTGCTCAAGCTACAAATGAGAGTAAGTTCCACTTGTCTTGCTTTAGTTTTTTCTTGCGTTCTTCTGTTACCTTCTCATCGGTTTTGTGTATTGCAGATTCTGCTTCTTCAGTGCAAATACACTGGTACATAATGACTAGTCCATTCACTGATGAGGCAACACGCAAATTCTTTGAAAGTCATAAATTTTTTGGTCTTGAGGCTGAACAAGTAAGATGTCTAAACCTTTTTCTGGTACAACTATATTCATACTTGTTTTGCCATCTTTTACTTACTACGAACCCACCTCTTTGGTATAGGTAACCTTTTTCCAACAAGGTACAATCCCTTGTGTTTCCAAGGATGGCAGGTTTATTATGGAGACTCCATACAGGGTATGCACATATTCTTTTACTGAACTTTAAGTATGTTGTTTTCTTCTCATTTTTTGCTTTATTAATTGATGTTAACTAAAACATAGAGAAAAGGAGGGTAGCAAGAACTTACCATTCAACCTATTACTTCTGATAAATGATTTATTTATTTATTTGATCATGTTATTATGTCATAATTTGGAGCAACTATGTGCATCTCTTTAAGTATTTCAAAATTGGAATTTGGCTGCTGCATATCAGTGTGTGCCAAGTTCAAGATGAAGTGTCCTGTAAAAGAAGAACACACCAGAAAGAGCTTGCGAAAATAGAGAACACGCCTCAAATTATTCTTAACTGAAAAGCTTATGGTTGGTTAGTTAGGTAGGTAATAGTAATAATGAAATTTAGTTGCCGTTTTAGGTATCACCCTGGTTGAGTCTTTACCTTCCCAGCTAGTCCACCAGAAGATGTTTTTAAATACTTTCCAAAGAATTTTCAGGGAATTAATTAACAACAAACAATTGTGTCTAAATTTCTTCTGCTCCTCCTTCAAGTTTGTTTACAATTTAACATTGGGTTAAAATAATATGATATTGATTGCCTTCTTTTCTCACTACTCATGAGAAATAGCAACATATTAATGTGGAAAGAATTGGAGGGAATGTGAGAATTGAGTTTTCATTTTGGGGTGGATTTAGTAAATATTTGGTTTTAAACAACCAGGACTACTTATACTTGCTAGTTTGAAAGAAAGATTTATTCACCAACATCTTGAAATGATTATGGAGTATTCGGGTTCCTTATGAAATGCCATTTTTAAATTTGAGCATGTGGCAATGATCAAGACATCTAAGTAACACAAGTACTAAACTATAAAAAAAACCACGATTTGCTAACTCACCCTTCTTCAATTCTTTTATGGCCTGTGAAATATAAATGTCTCTAATTAGGGACTGAGAATTTGAAGAGATGATTCTTTATTCACAATTTTTTGTTTTGTTTTAGTTTTCGATTTTAGTTATCCAGCTATCTAGTACCTGTTTTGTTGACCCAATTTTGAATTGTCTGGTGGTTAACATTTAAAACTTTTAAAGCCAGGTAGCAAAGGCTCCTGACGGAAATGGTGGAGTGTATTCAGGTACCTTGGGGGTTTATGTACATAAGTTATTTTTTTCATATTCCAGTCTGTAATTCTTTACATGGACTGCATTTTTTTTATATTTCTAATACATATTGGTTGGTAAAAAGTGAATATATTGGATTTTTTTTTTTTCTGTTCAGCTCTTAAATCTACGAAATTATTGGAGGACATGGCTTCAAAAGGAATTAAGTATATTGATTGCTATGGAGTTGATAATGCACTGGTAGTTTACTTTTTTGCTTCCTATTTTTGTCTCTTTCATCAATCGGTATTCCTTGTCAGTTATTACTTCTTTTTTGAAAGACATATATTGATAAGCACTTGTGAAACAGGTTCGAGTTGCTGATCCAACTTTTTTGGGTTACTTCATTGATAAAGGTGTTGCTGCTGCTGCAAAAGTTGTCCGTAAGGTAACACATCTGAATTTGGGAGGTCAAGTTATGTACTGGTTATATTTCATATCTGTGCAAAGAATGAAACCTAGCTGTGTGGATTTTCCTTTTCACTGAAAAAATGAACGTTGTATTTGCGGACTTTATTCTTCAACAAATGTGCAAGATCTAATTCCATTTTTGTCCAGTTGTAGATTAGTTATGATTGTTACCGATTATATGAAGCTATGATAAAATAGTAGGCTGTTGATAATCACTCTTCGTAAGTTGTTTTTTCTAGGATGCTCCCTTCTTTAGTTCCTTTATCCATTGCCGTTGTTACATTCACGGTTTCCATTTCCTACATCTCAAATGGATGGTATTACGATAATGCTTGAGATTATATCTCTACTAGAAATATAATGGGCCTATCTTAAATTCTCAATTCCAAAAGTTAGATCTGGGGGGTGGATTGCCCAAGCCTTGCCAGGACGGGGCTTTGGGCCCTGGCCATTTTTGTAGCTAATGTGGGACATCTTAACATGTATGCTTCATGCTTAGGATTGGACATGTGGAGTGTAAAGTTTGCAGGAACATATGCAAGTATCCCGTATTAAGAATAGATAGACTTTGATACCATCTATTATAGATGAACCAAACCGATTTCAGTCCCTAAAGGTAGATAAGGTGAGAGGATTTCCCGCACCATATAAGGAACTTTTTTTTCCATATTCGTCCTGCCATCATGTCACATCGTATCAACCTTGATTAAAAATTCAATGCTTTAGGTCCTTCAATGAATCTGCAAAAGATGTGACAGTAAGAAGACACAGGAGTATTATTCCCTTTTCTACCAAATAAACCGATAATTATGTTGTCAGTTATTTTCACGGATTATAATTTGAACCCACTTTATTATCCCTATACTGTGAGTATTGAAAACATAACACAGATAAAATAAAATGGCACTCAGGGACCCAAATTATTTAGGCAGGTTGACCATGAATTCCAGGTCTTCCTGACTTAATAGTTTATTATCTTGAATTGAACTTAAAACAAGGTCAGTATCTATTAATTATTTTTTTTTTCTTCTATCTGCATGGTTATGCTGCTGTATAGCCCATGGGGAACAGAAGAAAAAGCTATTATTTAAGACATGCTAGCCTAGGAAAACAACGGCAGCATGCTTTCAATATATATATACCTAGCTGAATTCTAATATGTTTGGAGTTCTGTATCTTGTGATGTTGGTAATATTCGAATCAGTTATTGCTGAAAATTGCATGAGACAGATGATAAGCTTGTTTTTCTTTTTTCATTCAAAATCAGTGATTCAATTAAATTTGTTATATGCATATTTTAAGGTTATTAAATTGTCATTATATACAGGCATATCCACAAGAAAAGGTTGGTGTGTTTGTACGACGAGGTAAAGGTGGTCCTCTTACCGTAGTTGAATACAGTGAATTGGACTCGTCACTAGCTTCTGCAGTCAATCAAGCAACTGGTCGTCTTCGTTTTTGTTGGAGTAATGTCAGTCTATTTTTCCTCTTTATAATCTCATGGTTTCTGCTTTCTGCACTCAATTTGTATTAAGCTTTGAGGATTATTGCCGTTTAATTTTGGCTATGATCTTCTAGAATGGTAAGCTAGGATTGAAGAGTTACACTACATGTTTGGAACCTAGAAGTGGGTTTAGTTTTCAGAAAAAGAGATGAGAAAACAGAGAAAAGAAAGGATGGGGTTAAGAATATTTTCATAATGTTTATTGAGTTACTAAGGGAGAGAATTCTCCGTCCAAACTTTTTCTATTTCAAACAAAGCTAATGCTCAGATCCCAAATGGTAATGTCAGAATGCCCACTCTTCTATACCCTCTTCTGCTGTTTCAGCTAATTCCCTACCTCTACATTTTCAATTGCCTAATACTCCCTGGTTATATCACTACACGTCAAAGGTATCAACTTTTGATATTGAATTGCTGAGATCAAGACAGGAGCTTTTGTGCATTGATATGATCATATATTCTCGATTAGACAATTGGCACACACCGTTAGAGACCATGGAAACGCAAAAACTCCTGTATGGATCTTTTTCTGATGATGAGAATTACCATCTAGTTTTGTTTCTTATTATTTTGTGCCAATGCTTTCGGGTATATTTCTGAAAGATATAAATACTCCTTCGGGTTTTCTTTTCCTATGCATCCATTGCTATCATAGTGTGTAAGGGGCCAAATTGAGAATGAAGAAGGTACGGGTGAGGGACAAATCAGTAAAAGTAAAGAATTGGAGTTAGTTGAAAAAAATGGAACACATGGCACATGATCCAATAGATGTGGGAGTGCGTAGTGGTGAGAGAAGGAGAATTCCCAATAGACAATTGGGTGGTTATGTACTGAAGATATGGTATATACGTGAGCGGGGGAGAGAGAAAGGGGTGTGTGTTGTTTGATTTCTTTTTCTGAATGTTTCCTGACATTCTTCTCTTCTGGCTCTACTATGTCATGGATGGCATGAGCTCCTAACCTTCAATCCTTGTATGCAATTCACCAGTAAATAATACCAGTGCAGTGTTTTCTCGTCATTTAAAGTTTCTGCTGTTTCAATACGCCTTTTATAGTGTCTTGTTAATATGATTCATTATCAATTTCCTTTATCAACTAAAACATGTGAAATTCATAACGATTACATGACAGTGACGCATCGGTGTCAATTCATCTATTTTGCTAACTCCAGTAGAGGGATATGAGTATTCATCTAGTCAAGTATAGATCATGAAAATATTCGTACTTAAGAATTTGATTGTTATTTTTACTGGCTGTTTTTTAAATCTTCAAGGTTTCTGATCAATCTTGTGATTTCAGGTCTGCTTACACATGTTCACTCTGGATTTTCTGAACCAAGTAGCAAATGGCCTTGAAAAAGATAGCATGTACGTGTGTTGCCCTCTTCATTCCAACTTCCCTGCCCCCACATTATTTGCCCTCCTTCTCACTGTTTTCTGAATCCAAATGTGAGACAATTATTTATTGCAAGGCATGCAACCTTGTAATCTCAAGGCCATATAACCATATTTGTGAGTTAAAAAAACTATTTCGCTACTTTAATCAGATGGCATAGATTACCCAGGAAGATTAATCACGTTATTCTTCTGATCCCTGATTTATCTGTAGTTGATACTCAATGAAGTTTAAATTTGGATGAAATAAAAAAATGGTGGAGATACCCCCTTTTGATTTGTTTGTGTCATATAATCCGCCATCTTTTAGGAGTTTTATATTGATCCATGGATTGATTCTATGCGCAGTTATCATCTTGCAGAGAAGAAAATACCTTCCATACATGGATATACAATGGGATTAAAACTTGAACAGTTTATATTTGATGCGTTTCCATATGCTCCTACGACTGCACTTTTTGAGGTGACTATAATTTTAATTTTTACTTATTGTGTAATTTCTTTCCTGACGTGATTTTTGTTAGGATGGTACTCTTATTATTGCATATTTTATGCATCCCTGCTCAGGTATTACGGGACGAAGAATTTGCACCGGTGAAAAATGCAAATGGATCCAATGTTGACACTCCAGACAGTGCAAAACTGCTTGTTCTTCGACTCCATACTCGATGGGTAGTTGCTGCAGGTGGCTTCTTAACGCATTCAGTGCCCTTATATGCAACAGGTAAGTTATTACCCCATATATACTAGGAGAGAACAAAAATAATATTGTGGCTTCACTCTTGTCCGGACACAGAATTTTTGACAGAAAGAGATGGAAAGATAATATTTTTTGTTAAAAAAGATTAATGTTTTACTCAACTCTTCCTTTTACATCATGAAATGTAATTGCCCCTCATTCAGGTGTCGAAGTGTCACCACTGTGTTCGTACGCTGGTGAAAACCTAGAACCTATATGTCGAGGAAGAACATTTCATGCACCTTGTGAGATCACATTCTAGTTCCACCGTTTTACATTACAATGAGGAAGTTCTCAATCCCATACATGTTGCAAGGTTAATTTGTGTATGCCACTCATCATTCAGTCGTATCAATGTATATTATCTTCTCCAATCTGTTTCGGATTGGCTTCTACTTTTTTTGGTTTTTTTCCTTTTTTGCCACTGATCTGTTTTAATACTGCTGAGGAATGTACATGTATCATAATCTTACTGAGCATTTATTTGCCCGTGCAGACTCAAATATATATTGCCCCATTTTCCTTACCTATTTACCAAATTAATTCATGCCATGTCCATACTTTTTATTGCACTGTTGTAATATCACCCGTTATATGTGGTAACTTGGGGAATAGAAGTGCAAGGAAAGAGTGAGCAAATGGCACAAAAAGATGTAAATCACTGCCCATTCAGCAAGCAAACTCACTATCCGTGGATGGATGTTTAGAGTTCCGTGCGTAGCATTTTGTGGGAAAAATTAAAATTTTCATATTTCATTAACTCGATTATTTTGGTGTTAGTCATATTCCGGACATCCACATATTGTAAAATTATTTTCATCATCACCTGGGTTGCAACAATAATATGAGAATATACAGAATTTCATATACTTTTATGTGAATCACCAACCACCATCTGTTTTTGTTGATTCAAAGATGTATTTTTATGTGTGACATACCATTTTGTTCCCTTGAAGATTTGAGGTTTGGTTTCATTCATTCTTTTCTTTAAGAGAGAACATTCATCCTTGAAATATGCAAATTAATTGTCTTTAAAAGATGTGCACCGGAGCTCAAATTTCATAATTACATCATCAAATATTCCTTGATTTTACTTAATGTTTGTAGGCTAAAGAATTTTTTTTTTTTTTAATCTTAATCACGTGGGCCTGATAGTTATTTATTTTCTTCATGTTAACTGTCGGTCATGCCCTCTGAGACTTAGAGAACAACGTCTTCTTTATTTTTCTGCACAGGATAAAGAACAATGACAACGGAGGACGTGCACACGAAGACGTCTTGTATCATTCATGTAGGTCCAATTCTACAATTATCAAGTCTTTTGTGTGTTCACATAGGATTCAATTTTCGTTGAGTAATATTTGCATTATAGGTAGTGTTTTTTATATTATTATTATTTAATTTTCTATCGTTTTTTTTTTATATTCAGTTTGGTGACTTAAGTTTTAAGAAATTCAGTTTAAAAACAATTCAGTTTGATATTTTTGTCATCTCTCCTTACTTTTAACATCTTTAAAAAATTAATATTACTATTTTTTGGCTATTTAAAATCAGCTATAATTATTTATGTTTTAACAAAAATAAATATATTTTTGACAGTTTAAAGTTGTCAACAAAATTATAATAAACAATAATATTTTAGTTCTTTTTAATTTTTTTTATGCTCCTTTTCTATTTTCTTGTTTTCATAAACGTCTATTTATTTTTAATATAATTAGAACGGTCAAAACGAATCTCTCAACTCAATTCATCCGGTCTCACATTCCAAGTTAAAAAATTTGATGATCCAGTTTAACCTTGTTGAATATAGAAGAAATAGAGTTTGAGATTAATCTCCCTTGTGTATAAATCACACATAGGTAGTCTATTTATAGTAGAGAGATACAACTAAAGAGTAAGCTGAAAGTAGCAGAATAAGCGAGAAGATATTGTTTGATATTATGGTTAATATCTAACAATATCTTAATAATATTAAATAATATCTAAACAATATCCAATACTCCCCCTCAAGTTGGAGCATACAAATCGTATGTGCCAAGCTTGTTACAAATATAATCAATTCTAGAACCCCGTAAAGATTTAGTAAAAATATTTGCTAACTGATCACTTGAGTTAACAAACTCAGTCTTGATGTCTCCAGACATAATCTTTTCTCGAATGAAATGACAATCAACCTCAATGTGTTTGGTCCTCTCATGAAAGACAGGATTAGAACTAATATGAAGAGCAGCCTAATTGTCACACACAAGTGACATTTGAGTGACATCTCCAAATTGTAACTCTCTAAGCAATTGCTTGAGCCAAACAAGTTCACAAGCAGCTGAGGCCATAGCTCTATATTCTGCTTCTGCACTAGATCTTGCCACAACACTTTGTTTCTTACTTTTCCATGAGACCAAGTTACCACCAATGGAGACACAATATCCAGATGTAGATCTTCTATCCGAAGGAGATCCTGCCCAATCAGCATCTGAGTAACAAACAACTCTTGTATGGTTATTAGAATCATATAACAATCCTTTTCCAGGAGATCCTTTAATACACTTTAAGATACGAATGACTGCATTCCAATGATCTTCACATGGGGAATTAAGAAATTGGTTTACCACACTGACTGCAAAAGAAATGTCAGGACGAGTAACTGTAAGATAATTCAATTTTCCAACCAATCTTCTATACTTGCTCGGGATCGGTATAAGCTCCCCCTGATTTGGTAAAAGTTTAGTATTGGGATCCATGGGCGTATCAACGAGACTTTGAATTCATCAACTCAGTTTCCTCTAAAATATCCATGGCATACTTCCTCCGAGATATAACAATACCATCATTGGATCGTGCCACCTCAATACCCAAAAATATCTAAGTTTGCCAAGATCTTTGTTCGAAAATGGTGACGAGAGATGTTGTTTCAAGCGAGAGATGTCATGGTTGTCATTACCTGTAAGAACGATGTCATCGACATATACTTATCAAGTAAACACATTCGACACTTAAGTGTTGATAAAAGGCGAGTGATCTGCTTCACACCGAGTCATACCAAATTGTTGAACAACCTTGCTAAACTTTCCAAACCAGGTCCTAGGAGAGCTGTTTTAGGCCATATAGGGATTTGCGAAGACGACATACCATCCCAGAAGACTCCCCCTGAGCAACAAACCCAGGAGGTTGCTCCATATAGATTTCTTCTTGCAAATCACCATTGAGGAAAGCATTTTTAACATCTAGTTGATAAAGAGACCATTGTTGAAGAGTGGCCATGGCGATAAATAAACGAACGAAGTCATCTTTGCCACGGGGAAAAGGTATCTCCATAATCCAACCCAAAAATTTGAGTATAACCTTTGGCCACAAGGCGAGCTTTGAGGTGATCAATAGTACCATCAGGTCCAACTTTGATAGCAAACACCCACCTGCAACCAACAACAGATTTCCCAGACGGTAACGAGACCAATTCTCAAGTTCCACTATTATGAAGAGCACTTAGTTCATCTAACATGACTTGACGCCAACCAGGATGGGCTAAAGCTTCACGGACAGTTTTTAAAATGGTCACAGAAGAAAGAGAGGAAAGACATGTATAAAAAGGTAATGACAGTCGATGATAATTCAAACCAATATAATGAGGAGAGGGATTACGTGTAGAACGGATACCTTTTCGGAGGGCAATGGGAAGGTCAGACTCAGGTGTCACATCCGGAGGAGACAGAGTAGTTGACACTTGAGTAGAGTCACATGGTGGTGGTTGTGATTGGTTTCGGCAACTATAAACCTGAAGAGGCAGTGAAGAAGAAGGCTGACTGCGGAGTAGAATCTAATGGTGAAGAAGACACAGTAGAGGGTCACAAACAACAGGAACATTAAATGTACTAGGAGTGTTGACAAGATTGGATGGAGACAGAGGTGAAGATTGACTTTTAAAATAAAAAGAGAACTCATCAAAGGTGACATCTGCAGACACAAAATAACGGTTAAGAGAAGGAGAAAAATATTTGTATCCTTGTGTGATCTTGTAAACCCTAAGAAAACACATTTATGTGATCTAGGAGAAAGTTTGTCAAGACTAGACTAAAATTATGAACAAAACATGTAGACCCAAAAACTTTTAGAGGTAAGGGATGAAGTGGTTCATGAGGGAATAAGATGGAATGATGTATTTTATTATCTAGAACCGAAGATGGCATGCGATTAACAAGATAACATGAAGTAAGAAGAGCATCACCCCAAAAATGCTGAGGAACCTCTCCATGAATTAAAAGAGTGCGAGTTGTTTCAATAAGATGTCTATTTTTACGTTCAGCTACACCATTTTGTTGAGGTGTATAAGCACAAGAAGTTTGATGCAAAATACCATGAGAAGCCATGAATTGTTTAAAAGAATGAGAAAGATATTCACGACCATTATCACTGCGCAAAACTCTAATAAAAACACCGAACTGAGTTTGAATTTCATTGAAAAAAGCTTCAAAGATATGAAATAATTTAGAACGATTTTTCATCAAAAATAACCAAGTGCATCTGGGAATAATCATCAATGAAAGTAACAAAGTATTGAAAACCTAAAGTAGACTTAACGCGGCTAGGTCCCTAAATGTCAGAGTGAACCACGACAAAAGGGGATGAAGCACCACATGTGACCCTACGAGGAAAGGAAGTACGACTATGCTTGCCTAATTGACACGACTCACATGCCAAACTAGACAATTTAGATAAGGCAGGGACAAGTTGTTGTAACTTGACAAGACTTGGATGACCTAACTGAGCATGGAGAAGAGAGGAGACTTTATAAGCTGCACCAACATGTGTAAAGGGACGAAGATGATAAAGACCATGAGACTCACATCCTGTGCCAATCACCATTTCGAACTCCGGTCCTGTAAATACACAAAATTGTTGGTAAAAGAAACAACACAATCAAGAGAACGAGTTAGACGACCGATGGATAACGAGGTTAAAAGGAGACACAGGGACATAAAGAACATTATCAATGGTTAAAGAAGGGAAAAGTTTAACGGTTCCAATACCATGAGATGATACTCTAGAGTCATCGGCTAGTGTAACAAAAGGTAAAGGATCGAGGAGATGATAAAAAGGAGAACAAAGATTTGTTACCGGTAATATGATCGGTGGCTCTGAATCAAAAACCCACGGACCGAGAAGAAGATTGGGTCGGACCAACAAAAGATGTACTGTGTGTGCGACGGACACGGTGGAACTAGAAGATTGTTGATCCTTATACCATTTGAGAAATTTGTTAAACATAGC